CCTTTAATTAAATTCATTTATTTTAGGATAAAAAAATAGTATAAGAGACTAGTATAAGAATAATTAAACACATATCAAATAAATAGTTTGTTAGATTAAGACTGGTAAAGTGTACGTGCTTTTCAGTTTTTTCGTAATTGCATTGCTCAGATACTAGAGACATGATGAGATTCGAAGACTTTTTATCGCATAATATGCACAACACGACAAACCACGCGAAGAATTCTTTCCTCAAAGTTAAACTGATTCAGTGCGCTAAATTCAATTCTATGATAAGGGTTCATGTTCATCTTTGATCTTATTTGTGATCATGATTCTTAATTCTCCATACGTTGCCGCAACAGCAGGCAGTACAGATCAGAATAATTAAGCAAGCGACCTTAACACAGTTAGGGCCGAGAAAAATGCACGAAATCAAATCAAAACGAGAATTCAATTAAAATATTCTAAGGACAAGATTGGTTAAGGGCATTCCTGTATTAGTTTTCATTTCAGCAAACTTCCGCATTTTATTTCGAACTAATATCATGTCATTCTTGTTATTTTTTGAATGTTTTCGCCGTTTCATGCGAACTCCGGGATTTTGTGGCCGTCAGTGAAAAATTCTACAAACCAAAATCACGCGCAAAGTGTAAAAATGAATTTATAGAGTCGACATAGGGAACCACTATAGATGTCAACATTACCTTTGTAGAACTCGACTCTGTGGATAAGCCTTTGGCAGTCTAAAAACATGGCAGCGTGTTTTTCGAAAAAAGTTTAGCTTTGGAAAACAAAATTGTTGAGTGCACATGACGTCATCTGACGCCATGTTGGTCAATGGACAGTTGCAATATTGCTATCTTCTCGGTTTCAAGTTCCCAAAACGTGCCCTCCACATCACTGTTTTTTGAATCTCTTAGGGATTGCTAAGCTGCAAACAATAATGACGTTAAATTTTGCGGTCTATCGAATTAATGATTGAGGCTTTTTTCCCACGAAAAACGGATTTTACCACTGAAAATGATACCACGGAAAAGTACTCCGCAAATATATCACTGTTCTTCTACGAAAATGACCAATATATGACCAATGTATCCTTTCATATGCAAATCATGTTTTTGTTGGCTTTAGGTACCCATGGCGCTTCTTTCGTTTAATTAAACAAGTGAAGAAATACATTAAAGGATGTAGTGGTGGTAAAAATAGGGGTGTGTGGGAGGGGAGGGAAGGGGGCCGTTTGACCATCGCCCAATTTTAGATCACCGTTTTATAAACAAAGAAACAGTTTAGGTAAATAAAATAAAAGCTTGGTCAACAATGGTAAGCACGAAATAACTTGCATGCTTCCCTCCGGCAAAAAAGATTGATCAGATTTCGGCATGAGTTTCAATAGGATGAAACTAATTCTTTAGGACAGAAATGAGACCATTGTTGTCTTATGTCAGTCAAGCTCTGCATGTTTGCAAGAGATTTACACAAGATGGAATTTCTAAGGTTATTTTGGGTTTGCTTATCATTGTAAAATTGTACCTTTAACTTAAGTTAATTATATTACTCTGAACATCCCAACTGTATTGTAAAATTAAAAGATAAATACAGGGCGCGGTGTTTTATTTACGAGTAAACTAATATGACTAGTAATCATACTTGCTACAATGAAGATAAAAATACTGAACCCAGATTGAAGATATTACATAAACGTCTTAAGAAAATAAGATGTGTGTTTAACAAAACACAGTGGAACAACTTATTCCAGGGAGGTCCATCGTATTTCCTACAGAGAGTGTTAGCAATCTGATGTAATTCCTGACATAACAAGTGGAGTGGATTTCTTCTTGGTATTCTTTCACCGTGGTTGACCTGGTTCGGCGCATCAGGGTTCAGACCTCAAAGTGTGATTTTAGTGGGTGGACTTAGAATGGCGCAATTGGAATGTTGTTAAATAAACTTCTTTAAACCGAACTTTTGCTCAGACAAATTTCTTCTGAAAAGATCGGCGAGTGAATTGCATAGTGGCTTTAAAATGTTGACGTCCCGACACTGTGATCTCATCGTTCCACAGCTCCAACACAGGTTGCTAAAACGTTCAATGGCATTCGCAGATTTCCCACAAGAGAACAAGCAGTTACGTAACATTAACCGTGCCGAGACAAATGTAATTCGGCGACACAACTGAAAACTAGGAGTCCTTGTGAAAACTCAGTGTGAAAACTGGCAACCTGCTTTCCCGAAAAAGCGACATCCTTCCAACATGACCTGCCAACTCTTTTCCCCGGGTTATAAACTGGCTTTGAATGACTAATCGACAAAAAAAATTGGAATCTGGAATCCCGCCGTGCAAGCAAATATTTCGCGCCATCTTTGCAACCGGGTTTTTCAAAATGGCGCGTCCCGGAATTAAGAAAACCGCGAGATGCTCTTGGGTTATTAAGGAGATAAAACAGTTTTGAATTCGTGAAACACACGTCACACTAAAATGTATTGTGTGAGTTTCAAGATGCATTGACAAGTTTTCTGAGATCGCGCAACTGAATTCTATCGAAAATTAGACGCCCTTTCGAAATTGCAAATAATAATA